GGTATAATGTGAGGAATGAATTCTGGAGGTAATGACGGTCCAAGTCAAAAGAAAGGGGAAACATAGGCAGGATCCAGAGCTGGAGGATGAGCCTGGCCTGGAGGAGAGAAGGAGAAGGAAAGGAAAAGCGCATCACGGTACCAGAAGAGTAGTCACCCAGGAGAACTTGAGGAGCTGGGGTAGAGTCTTCTGTACTCCACTCCCATTGAGAGATGGATGGGGTTGGGGTAATGACATGAAGCAGTTTCCCAGGAGCATGTGCCTACTCTCTTGCCAGAGATAGGAGCCTCTACTTTGGCATGGACACAGCAGGCCCTGGTCTGTCAGGGACATAGGCTGATGAGATCATCAGCATCTTGGTTCCTGCAACTCAAGAAATTCATCAGCTTTGCAACCATGGAAAAGGTGAAAAAATCAGGCTGTCAGTGAGTTTTCAGAGGGGCTATGGGGTTGTGTTGTGTTGTACCAGAGAAATGTGTATTCTGTACAGATGCAACAACTAAACTAACTCACTACAGTCAAGTTGGATCGACTCATAGCAACCCCTCTATAGGTTTCTGAGGCAGCATCACTATGGAAGTAGATTGCCCAATCTTCCTTATGGTTGGAACTGTATCTGTTCTGAGCTTCATGAACGAAGGAATGACTCAGCCATGTTTTTTGGGTGGACATTGTCCTACAGGCAGGGCCATTTTAGAAAAATCTCATGGTGGGTGCTGAGTATGCCTATGCTCTGTGGCCAGCCTGATCAAACCATCTCTTTGTGGGATTTTCCCTTGTAAAGAGGCCATCCCCAAAGAACACTTGATTGGGCTTGAGAAGTCTGCTCTGCCCTGTGAAACAGTGTTCCCCGACCCATTCCATTGGGCCCACATGCTGCTTTGGCTTTACTACAGAAATTCTGCTTGGATTAACTGATTGACATCCCTGCTTCTCACTAGAATTTGAACTTTCTGAGCCCGGGTCTGGCTTGGGCCCCCTATAATTTTTTGCTCTTCACAGGGGACAACATTCTGAAGAGAGAATATGATAGGCTTTGTAGTTAGTCATCTCTGGTTTAAAATCCTAGTTTGGCTATTTGTTAGCTGTACAACCTTGGCAAAGTTACTAACCTCTTTGAGCCTTGGTTTCCTTATCTGAAAAATGGGGATGATTACGCCTACTCCAAAATATTAAAATAAAGATGAGTATGGAAATTGCCTAGCTTGCTGCTTAGTAAATGATACCTTAATATATATACATATATATATATATATATATAAAATTTGTGGACTCAGTTGAGGTTTGTTCTGCATAAAAAAGAAGGAAGCTATTCTTGGAGTATGCTATTGTTAGGTGCCTTAACTTAAGGGTGTGGAGACTTTCTGCCTGGACTATCTCCAGAGCTCATCCTTGAGCTGACCCTGCCATCCAGGAGTTATCTGTCTCTGGAGCCTACTTCCACCCTCTGCCCACTACCCTTTTCTGAGCAGCTCACATTTGTAGTCATATTTGATAAGCAGGCACAAGGGCAGCCCTGACTGAATGGGGACACTGCTGCCAAGACTGAGGAACAGACGACCCAGTTGCAATCTGCTCTGCTCTGAGGGATGCTGGAAAACCTGTGGAAAACCTGGAAAACCTCTCAGTTTCCCCACTTTTGTGTTTGAAGATGGAGGCCTAGGTTCCTAATCCTCCTAGAGTAATGGGAAAACATGTTAGGATATGCTACAGAGGTGCCCTTGCTTTTATTTTCCCTATAAAGCCACAAAACCCAGAATTAAGGATATGCCTCAGAGCTGGGCACTAAGCTGGGTACCAAAGGTATAGGAAGGAAGTAGGCACTTACATGTCCTCGTGAGCTCACTGTTTGGTAAGGGAACAGAGCCACACTCACACTTCTAATGCAAACGGGTTTGAAGGATGTACAGATCAGTGTGGTGGGAGTAGAGGGGGGGTACCAGCTCCGTGGATGTGTGAGGGAGAAAGGGGCTAATGGGAAGGTAAACCCACTGTCATCAAGCCAATTGCGCACTCACAGCGAACCCCACTGGGTTTCCTGGGCTGAGTCGTTCGGAAGTAGATTGCCTCATCTTTCTCCCGTGGAGCAGTTGATGGGTTTGAATTGGTCGGTTGACCTTCCCTTATCAGCCAAATGCGTTACCCACAAGGCCACGAGAATGCCTTACTACACCAATGTTGTTGTTGTTATGTGCCGTCGAGTCAGACCCGACTCATAGCGACCCCTCCTTGGGTTTCCGAGGCAGTATCACTACGGAAGTAGATTGCCCCATCTTCCTTCCGAGGAGAGGCTGGTGGATTTGAACCGCCAGCCTTCTGGTTAGCAGTCAAGTGCCTTACGCACTATGCTACCAGAGCTCCTTACTACACCAATAAGTACCAGGAAAAGAAGCAGAGATGGAGGCTAGAGGGGAAGGCAGGCCAGGCAAATGAAACCAGCGTGAGCAGAGGCCGGGAGGTAAAAATAACAAGATATGTTTTTGTTTGTTTTGTTTTGTTTTTTAAACTAAAAAATTAACCAGCACCACACTTCGCCCAGCAGTTCTTGGGTGTGGCTGAAACCGGAGATTCTGGGGTGGGATGAGCAGCAGTAGGGAGCGCAGATGTGGATGGCGCTTAGACCTAAGCACCCTGCGAGAAGTAGAGGCCTATCAGTATGGGACTTGGAAGGTTTAGCATCAAGGGGAAAAGCACCAGTGAACAGCGTCAAGTTTTGGAGATCACTGGAGTTAGGAAGGACAGACTGACGTTGCTCTAGGCGTTTTCTTTCTATCTTTGAACAAATACTTGTTGGACGCCTATTAAATGGGAAATAGCGGTGAAGACATAACGCCTTCCCTGAGAGTATCCTCCACTTGTCACAGAAGGGGAAACTGAGGGTCAGCCGGATTTTGGCTGGGGTTTCTGCACTTGCGGGAGGGTAGTGTTGCTCTGAGCAGCAGCTTAGACGCCCAGACCAACGCAGGTCGGTCAGTCAGTGTCCACCGTCGGCTGCGCGCGCCGCCGGCGCCTCTCTACTGCCCCGCCCGGCTCGACGCCCGCCCCCAGCCCAACTCACACGTGGGTTCCTGCACGTCCGCCTGGCTCCCCCCTGACGTCAGTCTCGTGGTGCCATTTAAGGCCCCTCCTGCGCCCGGCTGCGAGTCCGGGAGCTGCTGCTGCAGATTCAGGGTTTCGTCGCCGCCCGCCGCCGACGTGCAGTCCGGGTACGGTCCGGTATGGTGGGGACTGGTGCGCACTGCGCCGGAGGGGGCGGGAGAGTGAGCTGCCTTCGGTTCGGCTAGCGGGACGAGCGCGGATTCTCTTGGGCGCCTATGCCCGAGGAGTCCCTGCTCTTTGGGTTGTAGGCGCCGCTTCCCAGACGCAGAGTCCGAAGACCTGGGCGGTGGCGCACGCCATGCGTGGGCTCGGAGATGGCTGTGCTCCGTTTTTACCCTAAGCGGGGACCGAGGTGGTTGGCCGGCCGTAGAACCGAAGGTGTGGCCGCACTTACTCTGGGTTGGAAGCCCTTGTGCATGCGGATGGACGAGTTGGCAGAGTTCCTTTGAGAGTTCTAAAGGGTGGGAAAATCAAGTGGGCAGAACGGGACCCGGTGAAGTCGAAAAAGCCTCAGCACGTTCGAGGCGGGTTCGTGGAAGCCAGAAAGTCTCTGAGCGCCGCGTGGGTCCCATTTTTCCCCTGGCACGCTCGAGTGGTGCGCCCCATGGGGGCGCCTGTTGCCTGCAAATTATAATAGGGCGCTCTTTGCACAGGTAACATTTATTAAGCAGCTGCGGGTGTATTGTGCGCTGTGGTAGGCGCGGTGCATGCAAAAGTGAAGCAAGCAGGATTCCACCTTACTGGCATCTAAGACAGCCTTTAGTAGATTCATCCAGGATTATCCCCTCTTTTGACATGAGGAGCCCTGAAGCTCAGAGAGGGTTAAGGCATATCTAAAGTCAAATTGCGTAGGTGGTGGAGTTGTAGAGTAGACCATTGTTCTGCAGGGCTCTCCCCACTGGATCCCCCCCATCTCCCCCCTGTGCAACGCCACGCCATGCCACGCCACGCGCACACTTCGGTGTCTAAATTGAGACGGGAGCTGAAGGCCAGGGCTGAGGCTTTGGTGAAGCCAGCAGATTTCTGCCAAACAACGCCTCCCTTGCCCCTGCCAGGCTGTGGAAACCTTAAAGGACTGTCTAGAAATAGCAGTGATTTGTAAGGAGAGACCCGATTCTGGCTTGGCGACTCTGGGCTGCCTGCCCGGAGGTCCTTTGGGATATTTTTGCCCTTTGGGACGGTGTCAAGACTAGATGTAGTGCTTTCTGGATGCAACGTGTGATAGTCCTTCCAGTGAATTCAGTGCAGAGTTGGATTAGTAGAGTCAAAGCCCCTCATCCCGGCTCTGGTAATCTAGGGCTCCACCAAGTAGCTATTAAAGTCTAGGCCTCAGGCCCTCTGCAGTTCTTTCTGCACTTCCTGTACTGACAAAATTTCCCCATTCCGGGACTTATGACTTTGCAACAGGGAGCACAGCAGAAACCACACGAGGCGCCTCCCTCCCGGTTGGTTAATAGGCCCCCTGTTCTGGTATTGAGATTTAAAGCGTGGCTCTGGCCGCGCGCCAGGCCAGGGAAGCAGTCAGCCGGGTTTCACGTTGCTCACGTCTGCTCTGGCCCACTAGTTAAGTCTAAAGTCTGACTACTATCTTGTTTCCTGTGACCCAGAGGGCTGGATAGTTCCTGATTGCCTCCGCTTGCAGGCGCCTCCCAGTGCCCACCTATCAATGGCAAGTAGGACTTCACGCTCCCGCCTCAGCTCTCAGAAATGCGCATGCGCGCAAATTTCCGCCCAGCCGCTATCCTGCTAGAACCCGGCCAGGTGTAGAACCCGCGGTTTCCAGCCGAGTGTTCAGTTGGTCTGATCTCCGCCCCTCCTTTACCCTTACTGGGCGGGGCAGGGGAGGAGGAAGTGAACACGCAGGCGCAGAATTCGTTGTATCTAGGATATACTTTGGTGGCAGTTAATGGCCATTTTGTGCACGTGTCTTTTCGTCCTTACATAAGGAGCTTGGTGGTTGGAGTGGATCGGGAAGGGCAGTTAAAAGTGAGCTTGTCTGAGGATAGCCCAGCCCCACCTGGGGTTAATAAACCAAGATGAGTAAGTCTTCAGAAGGTTATACTTACACCCAAACGTCGTTATTATTTTTCCACGCCAAGGTGAGGTTCTTCACTACGATCCTGGCCAGACCCTAGTATTAAACCTTTTAACTCTTCTTTGAGCACCTTTAGGTTTTATTTTTCCCTTCCTTTTTAAATCATCTCTTATGAATTTTAATGGAAAATAACATTTTTTTCCAGCGCAGCAATGGGTTAATGAACCATTAAAGAAGGTTCAGCGATACTCCATGTTTTCCACCCTATAGGTTCCTTCCTCTTCCAAAACCAAAATGGCAACTCTAAAGGATCAGCTGATTCAGAATCTTTTAAAGGAAGAACACATCCCCCAGAATAAGATTACAGTTGTTGGGGTTGGTGCTGTTGGCATGGCCTGTGCCATCAGTATCTTAATGAAGGTAAGTGAGAGCCCATCAGTCTGGAAGCCAAAGATCCTTGATTCTTCTCCCCAGCTCACCCCACCACCAAGAATTGCATCATCATATTGAATATAAAAATATTTGGGTTCCTTTACCTATTCCAAAAACTGTATGTGAAACTAAGTTTTGAAACATGGTGCTGTACAAAAAGGTATCTGCATTAAAAAGTGTAAAAGAGAACATAACAGTTCCTGATTGCCTCCACTTATGGGCACCACTTAGTGCCCACCTCTAACTGTTAAGAGGCCCAGTTCCTTGAATTTATTGTGCTGTATTAATATGCATGAATTGCCTACAGATGAAAAGGGAGAACCTATGCTTTTAAAGGAGCAAGAACTCTTTAAAAATAATTTTTGAATTGAAAATGACATACATACATTAAAATTAGAATCATACTGAATGTGGGAAATCTTAAATTTTCTCCTACCCTGGACCCTCATTGCCACTCTTTGGAGAGCAATTTTTTTAACCAATTATGAAGCTAAATGGGGAATTTGTAAACGAAGAATAGTTTTTACAGTATTCACCTAGTTTATTTCAAAAAGAAAGAGAGGTACAAGTTACAGTATTGAACTGTCTTAAGTTCAGATTTGGAGTTCCTTATAATGGGCTCAAACATAGCAGTGATTCAGATGGCAAGGACCAGGCAGTGTTGTGTTCTGTTGTACATAGGCTCGCTATAAGTCAGAACCAACTGTATAGCACCTAAAAACAACAAAAAGAGTGAAATGATTGAGTCTAAACAGAAGTAGATTGAAGTGAGCAGGGACTGAAGGTAGAAAGGAGCTATGCAGAGAGGTCTTGTAACACCACAGGTTGCTGCTCTGTATGGGTCTTTAGGAGAAGCCACATCATACAGCAACTCTTCTTACCCACTGGATCACACATGGAAGGCATCTATTTTGCTTTTTTAAGTTCTTCTCCTCATACCTATGAACTGCCTGTGGTCTTTTTCTGCAGTGACTTCTGACTCAAGTGAGATAAGAAGAGTAACTGCCAGACCACTCATTTTGTAAATGATTTGGGGGTAGATACGCAGCTATATAATCTCTTCGTGATGACAGTCCACATCTCATTTGTATTAAAGCTATTGTAGGTGCTCCTGGACTGAGATACACTTAATGAACTTACATGGGTTCAACTGCGGGATTGTTTATGGAAGTAGATTGCCCAATCTTCCTTCTGAGGAGTGGCTGATGGGTTTGAACCACCAACCTTCAGGTTAGCAGTCAAGTGCCTTAGGCACAGGAACCTAAAATCAATGTATAAAAGTGAGTTTGAGAGAAATAGAGCAATGTAACATAATTAGAAGTTATTCTAACTACTGCCAATTCAGTGCTCAGCTTCCACAGCAGTGGTGGTGGAGCTTCTGCAGAGGTTGCTCCAATGGAGTAAGGGTCAGTGCTGCTTTCGATGTCTGGGTCATCAGTGAGTCCACCTTTTAAATAGGGGCCTGCCTCTACGTTGATATATATCCTGATGATAATGAAGCATCAGACCTCTGCTATGCCAAAAATAAATTTTCCATGCCCCTCTAAAATCTGAAAGTACCAATTTCCCATTTAACTGAAAATTATGTCTTTTAGGACTTGGCTGATGAACTCGCTCTCATTGATGTCATGGAAGACAAACTGAAGGGAGAGATGATGGATCTCCAACACGGCAGCCTTTTCCTTAGAACACCAAAAATTGTCTCTGGCAAAGGTTGATTTCATCAAGATTATTTTATACTCTCTGCTAGACTTCATTCTTCATCAGGCTTGAAATACCACCTTCTTTAAAGATGTTCTTTTTTATATAGAAAGTCCTTAGGTTACAAACTATGGGCAACTCAAATTTGCCCATTAATGTTATATAAATTTTCCCTCACTTTGAAACAGCTGAGCTAACCCCTACCACAACAGAATTCTTCAGTCACCTTCACTTATTGCACGTGCACCTTTTAAATCAATGGAAAAGGCTGGAGCCTTTTCTTGCACTATCTCACTGCCATCGAGATGGTCCCGACTTATAGTGACCTCTCCTTGGGTTTCCAAGGCAGTATGTCTATAGAAGTAGATTCCCTGATCTTCCTTCTGAGGAGTGGCTGGTGGGTTTGAACCGCCAGCCTTCTGGTTAGCAGTCAGATGCCTTAGGGACTACACCACCAGCACTAAAGTTAGGCTAAATAAAAACAATACACACCTGTCCCAACTTAACCCACAAATTTGACTTAAGATACTCATAGGAATGAATCTTGTTTGTAACTCAGCCTGTGTAGGATAGGGTAGGAGAGCCTTGGAATAATTTGGCTGTCAAAGTTTTGATATCCTTTAAGTGGTTTTCAATGTAAATCCAATTTGTCCATGATGTGGAAAGCATCTGAATTGGAATGTAACTAGGAAAGCTCCAAACTTAAGTCCATATTTAACCACATTGCTTCACATACTGAAACTAAATATACTTAGCCTCTATTTCCTTTTACACAATAACTCAAGGTTGAGAGTAGGGCCAGTGAGCCCATTTAGCAGATATACTTGGCTTGAATTTTTCACACTTAAAAGCCAGGAAACCTGGAAACAGGCCCAAATAGGGTCTGGTTTTTGTTTTTAATTTCTAAATTGTATTTATTTTGCTGTTGTAATTGAAAAGACACAGCAAAACGTACCAATTCCACAGTTTCTGCATGTACAATTTAGTGACATTGATTACATTCATTGCATTGTGCAGCCGTTCTCACCCTGCTTTTCTGAGTTGTTCCTGTATCATTAACATTAACTCCTGTCTAATCTTTAGGTTTGCTGTTGTCAGTTTGATTCCATATAGATAGCTCTTAAAAGCATAATGCTCAAGGCAGACATTTTTTACTAGATAAGGTAAACTATTTTAAGATTTCAGGGAATATTTTTGGTTTAAAGATAATTTCAGGGCAATAGTTTCTGGGATTCATCCAGCCTCCATAATGGGATTTGTTTTGATACTTGAAAATCATAGACCTGTTATCAGATAGGTGACTCCCTTCATCATTGTCATCCTTGGTTAGCTAACCTATGCCACAGGGTATATCTAGAAACAAGACATGCTTGTTAAGTAAAGAGGCTCCTCTTTTTTTTTTTTTTTAAAAAAAAAAAGTCTGTGCCTGAGCTGATAAAGCAGTATTTACACAGTTAAGTAGAGATGAGTCTGGAAGAGTGAACATTTTGCTCAGGTACCAAAAACTATGGGGCTATATAGGAATTAATATGATAATCAAATTTGATTCCTCTCAGCACCCCCCAACGCAAATTATAGGTATATAAACTCACAGCATGACTTAAAACTAGAGGGCAAGGAGGATATTGACATACTCTTCCTCCATTTAAGGGGCCACAATGACTGACTTGATGGTATTTAACAACAAACGATAAAACTGCAACAGACCAATGTGAGGGGCAGTGGGGATACTAATCTGCCACTTAGAACAGTGATAAAACTATCCACACAAGAAACTTATGAAACAGATTTTTGTTAGGTAAAGAGTTTGCTTAAAGGCCTTCATCTGGTCCTTGCTTCTTTTTTCTCTAGACTATAATGTAACTGCAAATTCCAAGCTGGTTATTATTACAGCTGGAGCACGTCAGCAAGAGGGAGAAAGCCGTCTTAATTTGGTCCAGCGTAACGTGAACATCTTTAAATTCATCATTCCTAATGTTGTAAAATACAGTCCAAACTGCAAGTTGCTTGTTGTGTCTAATCCAGGTGAGACTTAAATTGCTGGAGTAAAACTGATAATACATGTTATGTTTATATAAGCACATTTTATTCATATTTTTATGTCCCTCCTGAGAGTCAGTTTATTGTGTATTTTTGTAAAGTAGTTATTTAAAAACATAAAGGGGATACAATCCCTTTGCCCATAATTGGAACTTAAAGTTAGTTATTTGGCTAAGAAGATCTTGGATAAAGGACGAGTTTATGAGTATGAGTGTATGAGTAATGTGGTATTCTCTTAATTGATGCAGTTTATCTTCACAAAATTACAATTCTGAAATACTTAATGGATTTTGTATATTATACATAGTATAGTGGTTTAAAAATTGACATAAATATTGGTAAGTCATGATCAATATTAAGATTCATAACAGATCAGAAGGGTAGCATTTGTGCAGGAAGATAGAAGGCAGGAATGCATAGGAAAGAAGGACACAGGGAAAAGCTAACCACAGGGACAAAGTGGGAAGAGAGCTGTTATGGGGATTGCATTATTATCATCAAACAAAATTGTATGAACTGTTGAGTGGAAGATGAATTTGCTCTGTAAACCTTTACCTAAATCACAATTTTAAAAAAATCAACAGAGCCATATATCTTGTAGCCAGTCTAATGGGTCACTTCCTGTTTCTGCCTAAATATTTTCTTATAGTGGATATCCTTACCTATGTGGCTTGGAAGATAAGTGGCTTTCCCAAAAACCGTGTCATTGGAAGTGGTTGCAATCTGGATTCAGCACGGTTCCGTTACCTAATGGGGGAGAGGCTGGGAGTTCACCCATTAAGCTGTCATGGGTGGATCCTTGGGGAGCACGGAGACTCTAGTGGTAAGTGGAAGTTACACTGTGTAGGTTATTGATAGAAGTTTTATTATTTTATCAGAGCCTAAATCAAATATTTAATCCTCAGGGTAAATAGTTTACAGAAATCGATATTTTGGTATATGCTACAGATTATTAAGATTTTAAATATTTTGTATGATATTTTATGGGAGAGGAGATGGGGAATGATAATTTCTTTTACATTTTACCATGAACATGTTGAATAAGTTCTTAGGATAACCTCAGTTGAATGTTAAAACTGTTTATATTTGACTTGAACTGCTTGGCCCTGAAAAGGCTAGCTGATACAAATGAAGTGCATATAATCTATAGAGAAAATTCTGTTACCTATCACAACTGAAAGGTGATAGTAGCCTAGAAAGTAGGTAAGTAGATAGTAGGGTAGAAAGCTGAGTAGCATAGTGCCTAAGGCATTTAATTGTTAACCAGAAGGCTGGCGGTTCAAACCCACCAGCCACGCCTTGGAAGGAAGGTTGGGCAACCTACTTCTGTAGTGATACTGCCACAGAAACCCAAGGAGGGGTCACTAGGAGTCGGTCCAACTCAGGTCCACCTCAAGGGCACATAACAACAACAACAAACATCCATTAGGGCTAAGAAAACAGTTTAAGAGATGTAGTGAGAATTCTTAGATTTATATAATCTAAACAAAGGAAAATCTAAATGTGAAAACTTTAGGGATTTGAACATAGGAAGTCTTGACCGTCTACCAAAAAGGGTAAGCCTCCCCAATAAGAAAAGAGAATTTGAGAAATGGACCAGAAATTAAAAAGGGGACGGGGGAAGGCAGAATTACTAGTCTGCTGATATATGGAAATAAGTGTGCTATTTCTTTTAGTGCCTGTATGGAGTGGAATGAATGTTGCTGGTGTCTCCCTGAAAAATCTGCACCCTGAATTAGGTACTGATGCAGATAAGGAGCAGTGGAAAGCGGTTCACAAACAGGTGGTTGACAGGTAATAGATCTCATAATTTGACATGTTGGATTAAAATTTATTATCATTATTTATAAGATTAAAGTTTTTAATATTAGAGAGCATGTGTTTTCTTAAGCTTTGTTAAAGATCATATATGAAAATAGAAGTAAAGGTATTAAGAATTAAAGACATCTATTGGGAGCTCTGGTGGCATAGTGCCTAAGGCATTTAATAGCTAACCAGAAGGCTGGCGGTTCAAACCCACCAGCCACTCCTTGGAAGGAAGATTGGTCTATCTACCTCCATAGAGATGCCACCTCAGAAACCCAAGGAGGGGTCACTGTGAGTCAAATTGACTCGACAGCAGTGAGTTTGGGTGGTTTTTTTTGGGGGGGGTATTAATGCTACGGTCTAGCACTTTGTCATAATTTTCCATTTATAGTCTGTGCTTGTAAACTACTGAGATAAAATGAACTAAATCCACCCTATTTGAGAGCCAGTCTTACTTTGACAGCATTTAAGTTCCTATTACGGACTTTTAAGAATAGAAACATGGCTAGCTTCTTGTTTATTGAGATTATTATAAAGTTTTAAGTCATGGAAGTAAAAATGTGAATAATTCATAACTGTCAGATATTGTTAAGATAGAGGTTTCAACTTGGTATAATTATTTACTTACTGTAAACCATGTGCTGATGGTTGGACCTCAGAGCTATAGAACTGAATAGTTATAATTCTTGGTTGATTGGTCTGTGCAAGGCACTCCTCTTTGTATTTAATTAATTTTTTAAGTAATGAAACCTGTGTGTGTGGGTCTACCACCCAACACAATAACAAGAACACTGATAATACCTGTCAACTACCTATGTGCTTGTCTGGTCAGAATTATCAGTCTGCTTATGTTTCAATTCAAGAAAGGTGTAAATTACAAAAATACCACACTTTATAGTTAATGAGGAAATGTTAGAAGTATTATTAAATTAAAGAAAACCAAGATGCTTGGTATCATCATTCATCATTGTTTTGGAGATTCTCATCAATATATTAAACTTAAAAACGTTACTAAAATTTATGAACATAGAAAAAAATTACATTTCTAAGAATCACCCTTCTTGTTGCATATAGTTAATAGTTCATTTGTTTTGACAGCTGTATAATACTCCATTTTGAGGATATACCACAATTTGTCCATTCCCCTATTGGAGGGAGCTCTGGTAGCATAGTGGCTAAGGCACTTGACTGCTAACCAGAAGGCTGGCGGTTCAAACCCACCAGCCACTCCTCGGAAGGAAGGTTGGGCAATCCTACTTCCGTAGTGATACTGCCTCGGAAACCCAAGGAGGGGTCGCTATGAGTCAGGGCTGACTCGACGGCACATAACAACAACAACAACAGGCTGTTGCCAGGTTTTTGCTATTATGAACAGTACTGTTCTGAACATCCTTACACATATATCCTGGTACATCTGTGCAAGGGTTACACTTAGGTTATGCGTCAGTTGTTGATGATACTATTTATGGTATGTTCAGTGAATGCTTTGTTTTTCTTTGTTTCTCCCTCCCTACTTTTTCCTGCCCTTCTCTTTCACCCTGCCCTTCTGTATCCTACAGTGCTTATGAGGTGATCAAACTGAAAGGCTATACCTCTTGGGCCATTGGACTATCTGTAGCAGATTTGGCAGAAAGTATCATGAAGAATCTTAGGCGGGTACATCCAATCTCCACCATGATTAAGGTACGACATATTATGATGTAGTGATAATGCTGGAGCCCTAGTGATGCAGTGGTCAAAGTGCTCATCTGCCATCCAAAAGATGGATGGTGTGAACCCACCAGTGGTTCCACAGGATTAAGATGTGACGGTCTGCTTCCATAAAGATTTGACAGCCTTAGAAACATATGAGGCAGTTCTACTTTTTCTTACCAGGTCACTATGAATCAGAATCAACTTGATGGCAGAGGGTTTGGTTTGGGGTTTATATAGTGATATATTATTTCTTGTATTTGTATGCTGCTATTTTTTGTATTTGTTTTTTTAGGGGTTCTTCTGAGAAAGCAGTTAGATTAATACAGGTCCTCAACTATTGATTTAAACTATTGATGTAGTGAAATTAATTCATGCACCCACACTTTCCTTCTTTGGAAAGACATGGTTGAGGTTTAGGGTTAGTGTTGAGTAACACAAAGATATTTGATAACTTGTTGACTAAGAAAGCATCCTCATTCAATTACGATGAGGTGGATGGAAAAATATAAAAGATTAAGTTTTTTTTTTCCTTCTGGGGAAAAAATTTACACTCAAGTTATTAAAGGGTTATGCAATAAAAACTGGAATGTATTGTGAATAATAGCTCAGATTTTCTTTTAGAATGGAAACCTTTCTGCTAGTTTATGACTTTCTTTTATACTGCTCATTACATCATAACTGAAAATCTGGAAAGGAGTGTCTACTAACCAAGTTATATTAAATAAGCTTCATATTAGAATGAAAATCTTGGGAGACCCCACAATGCAAACAAAATGTAAAATAATTCTCATTTTGCCCTCAGGGTCTCTATGGAATTAAAGATGACGTCTTCCTTAGTGTTCCTTGCGTCTTGGGACAGAATGGAATCTCAGACGTTGTGAAAGTGACTCTGACTCCTGAGGAAGAGGCCCATTTGAAGAAGAGTGCAGATACACTTTGGGGGATCCAAAAAGAGCTGCAGTTTTAGTCTTCTGTTGTAACACTTCACTGTTTAGGTTACAAAAGGATTTTAGTTGGGGGTTGTGTATGTTGTCCTTTTTATCTGGTCTGTGTAAAATTATGACTTAGAAAAAACATCAATTTCCTAAAGTTAGACACAGGAATTGGTACATAAAACCCTACAGCTATATCCTGATGGTGGATAATAATACTTACTGGTTAGTGTACAATAATAGTTCCACCCCCTCTGAGATAGCACTGCCAATGTTGCACATGCTGCAGCTTCCCTTCAAACCAGAAGAATGTGTTTACTGTATGTTGTATAACTTCTGATTCCTTCACCCAACATGGCTCGCCCAATGTTTTTATCCCCAATTAATCACATCCTGGGATCCAATGTATAAATCCAATATTGCATGTTTTGTGCACAGTTGTTCTAAAGGATCTTATTTTGTGTACTGTATTTATCAGAGTAGTGTACATTGTCATGTAATGTAAAAAGATCTACATATAAACAATGCTGCAACTGTCAAACCAACTAAAACACCAAATAAACCATGAACAGTGACAACTCTTATTAATTTATTACATTAAGATATAAAGTCACAAAGCTGCTGTTTATTCATTATATTATTGGTATGATACCTTACAATCCATGTAGAGAACACTGTATATATGTGAATGTGAAAAACACATTTTTTTGCCAATTGAACATAGCAGTGAACTTTACCCTCTGGAAACCTGTAACACAATGATACTTAACAATGTTAAGCCAAATAGTTGCAGTAGTCCTTACCAGACACCCTCATGACATTTCTATAACCATGACTGTGACCTAGGCCTGAAAACCTTATTTCTAGAGGTTAATTTCCTCTACTAGTTGCCACTGAGCTGATTTGGACTCATGGTGACCCCACATGTCAGAGTCGAACTGTGTCCAGAGAGTTTTCAGTGGCTGATTTTGTGGAAGTAGATCACCAGTCCTTTCTTGCAAGACATCTCTGGGTATATGTGAACCTCCAACATTTGGGTTAGCAGCTGAGCTCATTAATTATTTGCATGACCAAGGGACTCTTCCAGATACAGGAAACAAAAAAGTTTGAGCCAGAGAAAAGCTGTCCAAAGGCTAGTTAGAGGGGAGTGTGCTGAGAACAAAGTGGCTTGAGATGAGGTTGGAGGAGTAAAAGGCCCAGATCTTCAAGGCCTTTTAGGCTGTGGTAAAAATTGTTTTACTAGGAAACCATCAAAGGTTGCAGGGTTGCTGCATCATGACCTGAACTACAGAAAAAACACACATAGGCTTATCATCTCGTAAGGAAGGTTGGGCAATCCTACTTCCGTAGTGATACTGCCTCGGAAACCCAAGGAGGGGTCGCTATGAGTCGGGGCCGACTTGACGGCAAACAACAACAACAACAGGCTTATCATAGGACTACCCTTTAGGATTTGGAAGGGATTCAATGCAAATGCCAAATACTATGCCACTCTCATTCTTTGTGCAAATTAAAAGCACTCAGAAAATTAGACTTGGCCTTACCTTTTCACTACTACTGAGCTGTTCTCTCACGAGATTCTAATTTCAACTATTTCAGGACTCAGCCCATAATTTACAGAACTTAATAATTAAAAGCAACAAAAAACTGCTAATAAATGCATGAGCAAGGAAATGTTAAGTGCATCCTCAAATTCAAGATGGGTCATTCCCAAACCCATCCTTGAATTCTTTCTCATCCTGAGGGCCCTGGTTCCTTCAGTATGCCCTCTCCAACAAGGTTGGTAAAGGACAGGTGTTCACGACCCCAACCACTGTCGCTTCAGAATAATCTGGAAGCGATCCCCTAAGGCTCTCCCCTAAGCTGGGGCTGTTGTCTGAACAGAGAAGTGCCCAGGTGCATTGATTCCCAGCAGCCTCAAGCCTGGCCCCTCAGCAGTATGGAAGTGGTGATGTTAACACAGAAGCCTGAGTTCTAAAATCAGTCTCAGGCCAATTGAAGGAAATGAAATCAACAGTCCAATATTCTCATAGACTGGCCTAGAACTATTATCGTAAAGGATACCAATATTACAACAGTCCGCACTGACCGAAAGATACGAAGAGCTTACCAATGCGCCTGCGCCAGAGGTGGGGCTTGCGTACTGACGAAGGACAGCCGTGCGTAAAGGTGTGTGTGCGTGTGTGGCGGTCTGGAAAGTGTAACGGTTGCCGGGCTTCGCAGTTCAACTGCTGTTACTGATTATTTCTGGCATCACTTTTCTGCCTTCCTTAAAGGCAGTGCATTACACTGTCGGCTGTCTCTGCATTAAGCAAACCATTTGTGAGCGTTTGGTACTGGGGTAAAAATGGTGACTGGGGGAAGGAATTCAAAAAGCTTGTTGGTGACCAACCCCTACTACTGATACAATGGCCCTTGCCCTACTGCCCACGCCCCTTGAACAGGAAATTTTATCTTTGGTTTTCCCTAACCCTTGCCTAACTTTCTGCAAACGCAAGAAGTAGTTCCTTATATCATCAGTGTGGTTAGTACCTTGCTAGCTGTGAGAGTATTTAAGTTAAAGCCTTGAATTCACTAAAATTGCATTATCCTCACCAGGTTCTCAAAATGTCAACTGTAAAGGACCAGCTTTTAGAGAATCTAATTGCAGAAGATAAGACCTCTCAACGTAAGATCACCATAATTGGAACAGGTGCTGTAGGCATGGCTTGCGCTATTAGTATCTTATTGAAGGTAAGTGATAAGCCCGTCCTGTAACTGAAGATCAAATAAGCACTTTTACATCTTGTACATGTTCATGATTTCAGGGTTGCAGGGTTAAGCCCTTGATCTAGCAAATACATTTTTTCTCATCTGATTTTGACACAATTTAAGAACATTTACTTAGAATATACCTTGTTTCCGGCATTGCTAGAATATTCGTTATAGAACCACATTTTTAAAATTGTTTTCTTTTTTATTTTCTTGTTTGTATTTTTTTTTTTTTTTTAATTGTGATTTGGGTGAAAATTTACAGAGCAAATTCACTTTCCATACAGCAGTTCATATATACTTTGTCTCATGTCATTGACCACAGTTTACCAC